ATATATATATATATATATATATATATATATATATATATATACTATACGAGTTTTGAATTAATTTTCGTAAAAATAAAATCGCTGTCTATATGTGTGCGTTTGTGTGTGTGTGTGTTTATGTGTATGATAAACTATACTAACTGAAATAGTTTACACTTGCAATGTTTCCTTTATTCTATAGAATTACGCACGATTATATTATTATATAGAGCAATGTTTTCGTGGGAAGAATGAAAAATTGTTTACTTCATTCGCCGTTTAACTTTGGACGCAGACGCGTTGACACATGTCAAGCGACTCTTTCTTTCTCGATATTCTGATTTGATGAGCGGCATTCGCAATTTAAGCGAACTCTTGCAAACTAACGTGGCAATTTTGCGCATACCTAACGAACTAAAGAAAAAGTAAAACGTACGAAAAATTTATTCAAGGAAACGACATGAGGCATTGTTTCGACTAAAGTACGACAACGCGCGTGATATCAATGCGTTCGCTTGTGCTGCTCGAGATCGCATCTCTCACGTTTGAAGTTGCGCGCTCTCGAGGTATCGCATCTAGGTGTTCGTGCGTCATGACTTACGCTATATTACCGTGCACCGTTCGTATGTGCAGCTACTGCGCAGATCGCTGAGCTACGTGGTTAGGAACCAATAACACAGTTGAATTTGCACGTAGTTGCAGTCCATGTGTAAGAACCAATAACGTAGTCGCGCGCAGCACAGGCGACCGAGAGAGCTACCGGTAGGTAGTAGTGATGAACGTCGTACGAGATTAACGGCTGATGTAACGGCGTTACCGTATGTAACGGGCGAAACCATGGCTCGTCAGGTTTAGGCAGATTTAGATAAGATTAATCGAGTGTATTAAAGTCGTACAAATACTAAACGTCTCGGTCGCGTATCGTCGGTGCAAGAACAAGGACGAGAGATGTCCGGCTTCGACGAGAATCCCTTCGGGGAGCCTACGATTAACGATCCCTTTTCGGTGAGTAGCGATTTCCTCGCGTGACAGTGACAAAAACGAAACACCGCAGCACCGTGTTCTCCAATATTGCTCGTGTATCAGTCAAAGTTCGTTGGGTCACTCTGCCAGTCTCGTTTTTGCTCGGATTTGCTTCATCACCGGCCGATATTCCATTTTATTGAGCGATTTTGCGCTGATAAGCGACGCCTACTCGAAACTCAGTTAATGATTATTGGATGTGTCATTCTGATGTCGGCAAAAATATCCGCCTGCATTAACAATGTTCCTTTTCTAACGTCATACGGTGATTTCTTTATCATAAAGTTCAGATATGTGAACATTTGCCGGATCGCCGTATTCTATATTTATGGAGTGATATTATATTATGTGTCCGTATTTTATGTCGTAATTTTACGATGTAATAAAAAAAGTTCTTTTTACCATCGTTTAACTTTCGTATTTGATTCTGTTCGTAACCGATTCCTGAAAATCTGTTTTACTTACGTTTACGATTTTTTTAATTTTGTCCTGACTAATGCTTTACTAGGATATATGTTATCTTATCTTTCATTCTGCGCAGTATAGGTGATTAATATTGGTGACAATAGTCCATATCCCGAATTCACTTTTTTCAATAAAAGTGCCTTAAATGTGGCTTCTCAGCTGTTCAGGTTCCTAAACCATTTTTAAAGGTCACTTTTATCGATAAAAGTGAATTCAGAATATAAACCTAAATATCTAAGAATAAGATAAAGAATACTAAGGAGGAATAACCGAATAAACAGTGTCAACCTATTACTAAAAGAAAAAGACATAAATGGATATGTTACAAGAAATAAATGGATATGTTAACATCTATACAATAGGATCCAGCGATACGAAGAGCTGTAAACTCTACTCCAGCCAGTAGAGGTCTCGAGGACTACAATCCTTTTGCCGAACAAGGCACACAAGGAACTACACAAGTTAGAGGAGCATTAAATCCACCTATCTATGGTGGAGTAGGTGCAACACAGCAACCAGCAACGCTTCAACCTACTAATCAAGAAGCTCCACCTCCTGCATATGCACGTAGTCCTCAGCAAACAGTCAACGCAGCGTTGGGAAACACCGTACCACTTCCGCCAGAAGTAAATCTATATCCAATATTGGTTTCTGTGCAAAATTTCTTTCGATAGGCACGAACCTCTTAAGTGATTTAAGATTAGATAAGAGGGAGAGGAAAGGAATATGTATAGACATATATGAACCAATATTTAAAAATAACGTTTGAGTAGAACTCTGCAAAAACAGGAGGAGTCTCAATTAGAATATTTCAAGCTTTGTTTTTATTAGCCTCTACATTTACCTAGCTTCCATTGATTCATATTAGATTTATATTGGTTGATGCATGTCTTTTTCCTTCTCATCAATTTATAAAATCAACGAGCCCGTGGTTGTGGTGCTTTTAAAAGGAAATATTTTAATATACTTCAGCAACGGGCAGAATCAGAATGGAAGCCCAGGACAGAAGAAGAAATGAGAAATACTCCTTACTATCGTTAGTATATTACCCGCACAATTAAAATATGCCAGATGTAGTATCTCTTTGATCAGACATTTTTACTGAAAACTTTTGATATTGTTATAGCAAGGAGAAATAATTGGCCGCCTTTACCGGATAAGTGCTGTTTCCAACCATGCTTCTATCAAGATATTGATGTCGAAATTCATACCGATTTCCAAAAGATAGTGAGGCAATTATATTATCTTTGGATGTGTAAGTCTTACTAAAAATAATTGTGCATTTATCCAACGAAGTGTCGATGATATATTTAAGAATGTTGCTTACAGTTCACGGTTGTGTTCTGCTATTGAACGTATTAGGAGGATTCGTTTTGATGCTTTGTGGCCAAGGTTTCTCGACATTTGGACTGGCTATCTTGTATCTTATCCTCTTTACACCGTTTTCCTTCATGTGTTGGTTTAGACCAGCATACAGAGCTTTCAAGTATGTTGAGAATTCCGTTTAGCATTGCAAGTGTTAAGTGAGGTATGAAAGTAAATATTTTGCCTTAACCTTTTTTTTTTTCCAGAAACGACAGCTCTTTTAACTTCATGGTCTTTTTCTTCGTTTTCTTCTTTCAATTGATCGTCACCGCTATCCAGGCTATAGGTATTCCGGGTGCAGGAACATGGTAATGTGTCTTTTCTTTGTCTTCTTACTTAGTTTCGTGTATCGTACATGCGAGTATTTACATACTAATATAAATTTCATTATTTACTTTTAGTGGTGTAATAATAGCAATCGAGCAGTTCGATTCGACGGCCAAAGGTATCTTCATTGGTCTTCTTATACTCCTCATCGCTATTTGTTTCGTTCTTGCGGGAAGCGGTGATCTCTTGTTACTCACCAAGGTACAGTAAATATTGCGAATAAAAAAGAGCAAATCGATCGATCGATGATGATTCCGAGAAAGTGAATGAAAATGAAATCATTCTTTTCTTCCCCCCAGATTCATCGCATCTATCGTACTTCAGATGCGAGTGTTACGAAGGCGCAACAGGAATTTGCAACAACATTTTTGCGAAACGAACATGTGCAGAACGCGGCGAGCAACGTAGCGGCAACTGCAGTCCGCACGCAGATGGCTAACGCGACCCAACCGCGTTATTAAAAATAATTCCATCACTTATTTGTACACTACGTTCTTGGCTTTACATCATTCAGTAAATGGATAGATCTCATTAGTTTTGCTGTATATGGATTATATAAAAAGAAGGAAAAGGTCATAGAAATGCAATGTATCGCAAAACTTATTCTTACATTGAAACGCTGCAATATATGAAAATTGTGCTTCACGTTCAAATTTAATCTCTGATGTACGTTGTCTTTAACAACGTTAACTGTACAGCCAGTACTGGCGCAAAATATTGAAGTATTAACAGATATGACAGATTCTGAAATCTTTCCAATCTAACATACACTTTGTTTCTGAAGGTGATGATGATATTCTATGTTTCAAAGAAAAAAAAAACTATATATATATATATATATGTGACACATGTGTAACATTTCTTTACATGAGTTCGATAATATTCGCTCATTGCCGTTTATCATGTACATCGGTATATGAGATCATCAAATTAGATTATTACTTATGTGAGTGAATTCTTAATAATCATGTCTATAATTTTATTATTACATAATTACATATGTCTACTAGCTTTTATATTTTAGTGGCACAGTTTCATGACAATGTGATCATGTGTAAGCTAGAAATATACACTGAAGTAATTAAGTTTATTTCAAGTGAAAGAAAAACAATTTTGCAAAGTTAAGCTTGTGACATAATTAGGCTCGTACTTGTTGGATATTATCATAAATGTTAATTTACTTATGAATATTCACAAACAACTCTTTCGTGAACCTTAAGAAATCCTATACATTCCTCTTTGCATATTTTTGTCATGACTGTTATTTCATATTAAGAGATTCTCGTTTTTATTGAAATGCGCTAATGTGAAATAATGTTAACAGGAAGAGTTATATTTTGATTGAACATTTTATGAATCTGTATGAATAATCGAATTATTTTTATAATCTAATACGAACACTAAGGATTAATTCGTGACTATTATAAAAAAATTATTTATTATAATTTTTTCGATTAAAACGTAAAAAATGCGATTGTTATTTGTTGAAACTGAAATATACTGAGGTTTTTTTGTATCTTTCAAAATATTATAATAAATTTAAATACAACTAAAGATCTCAAAAATAATTGTAAGAAACTGTATATATCGAGTATATTACTATAAAAGAAAATTACGCATTTAGATGAATTTTTAGAAGAATTATCGAATTTAACAGACGTTATAAAAAAAGTGAATCGTTAAACAATGAGTAAATTAATTTTTAATCTAACTACGATATATTTGCAAAATAACATTTATATATACGGCTCTATTTCTTGTAAATCAAGCCTCCTGAGCAAGTCTTTCGCTGTAAGAAAATTTCCTTTGACATTTTCATTTATACGCGCACACTTTCACAGTTTCACAGATCATTTGACATAGACGTACCTTTGGAATGATAGGTTTCAACAGGATCTATCGGAAATGGACAACCGACATCGGCGTTGTTAATTAGAGTATTTCCGATCAACTCTGCCGCTGTCACAGCATCAACGATTTCCACCTTAGTACGATACATAAGTTTTGCGTGACCTTCCGCTAATCTAAACGCATTAATTGTGTTAATTTCACCAGAATTGATTATAGGACAGGTCATACGAGATGGAACAAAGAAGTCTCGTGAGATGTCACATTGTTGATGACTAATTGAATAATTATTTTATACCTGATAAGACTATCTAAAAGACGCACTGTTGTTCTCTCGGGCCTTCTGTACTGATTCGATCTGTGATAAAGATAAGTTGCGCTGAGTATTTTTTTCGCTTCTTCGGTCAACACCGGTTTTAACGCGCGCACATGTGCGAAATACTCGCAAAGGCTCTCTTCTCTCCACAGACCTGTCAAGTTTGAAGGGCCCATGTATACCTCGGGGTAACTGTAATAATCATTTCGCATTAATCATTGCCGCAAACAAAATAATATGCTGTAAAAGAGCTGGATACTATGTATTATTACGAATTGTTTTCTTCGTCTTCGCAAGCGGCTTTCAGGATATGAGCCACCGTCATTCGGTCCCATTCAGGATTTTTATTATCTCGCAAGAGGAGAATCAGATCAAAGCGCGACAAAAGAGGATTTCCCAGACAAGTTTTCCACTCTCCACCAGTGAAACATCCGCCGTCCGGATTAATAGCCGCGATGACTGAACAACGACTATTCAACGTGCTCACCATGCCGGCTTTGGCCACGGAGATTGTTTGTTGCTCCATCGCCTCGTGCATAGAGGTTCTATCATGCGAGCTCATCGTCGTGAACTCATCCACGCAACATACACCTCCGTCCGCGAGCACCAAAGCGCCGGCTTCTAAGTGCCAGCCGTCCGTGTCCTGTAATGCATCCCCCAGGACGATTACGAAGACGAATAGGCGAGCAAAATACTTAGCATGCGCTACTAACTTTGACAGCAGCTGCTGTGAGTCCAGCGGCGGTAGTACCGATGCCGGTTGTGAAGACGGACCTTGGAATTAGTCGTGATGCGGCGCGAAGCAATTGCGATTTCCCAGTGCCCGGATCTCCGATCAACAGGAGATGGGACTCGCCTCTTACGCGCGTCTCTGTATCGTTAGTCTTGGCGACACCGCCGCACAGCACAACCGCCAGGGCTAATTTCGCGACATACATCCCGTACACCTGTGGATCGTTCCGAGATAAGAACAGGCGAACGTTACTCTTACTGAAATATCACGCACTTGGTATTACATAGTACTATCTCTTGCAACACGCTTGGGAAAACTTTAATGTACCTGCGGACAGATGGAGGCGAGGATATTGTCCCTGCCAAGTAACGCATTATCTCGATAACTTTCCCAATACGCTGTGAAGGTATTCTTCATTTCCGCGGTGGAGAACGTTGCCTCCGAGATTTTCCTGCGTACGGAAATACTATTTGCCATCAGAAACGTCGTGGCTTCTGCACGTTTGCCGACTTTCAGCGTACCCCATTTTCGTATAATTATCCCACTGCAAAAATCTTGTATAAATGTGACTGGTAGCTAGTCGAAATAATCTAATAATCGAAACAATCTAATCAGCAAAATATTACGCAATATTGCAAAATAATATAAGCGTTATAGTAACCTAATGTCTATGTTATCTCCAGGTCTACATTTGTCAATGAGATCATCCAACAGAACTACTTGTAAACCCATTGCATAGCAGCTCTTAGTACCTGCTTTACACTTATCCTATATAAAAAGAGATATTGCTTAGGAAAGAGACAAAAATATATAATAGCGATACAAACTCTGAGCAATAAAAAAACCTGAATCTTTATTTCTTGATAGTCGGAGCAGTCATCTTGTTCTAAAAATGTTGAAGCTCTTATGCTTGGAGAATGACACGCTTCGCAGCTCTTGGCATCCCTGAACAGTTGTCTCTCCCACTCTAACTGTACATTGAAACTAATGTTTCACTATGTATTAACCCATAAAATCAGAATTATTACCTTATATTTCTTTGGTTTTATTACATGTGTTTGAGTATTTACATACTTTAATCACAGTGACATGCTTGCACTTTTTACAGATGAAACGTTTCTTCAGCTTCATAACTGTCGCTTGAGACATGCGTACAACAATCCCAGATGTTGAAACCAGCTCTCCAATTTGACCTGTATCGATTTTTATCGGCACAGCAATAATTCTGACATGAACCTGTGTATCATAAAAAGTTATAGTAAAATGAGATTGTGTTACTAATGGTTATGTTGATTGATTATCGATGGCATTAACTTAGAAAGGTATATCTTTCTTGTAGTTTAATTAAGGATACAATTAATAATTGAAGTTCTATATAGATATCAATTTCTCATTAGCATATTTGACATGTCCATTGAACGTCAAGGAAAAGTAGATATAATTTTAATTTTATCAAGTAATATATACAATATATACAATTTATAAGCTATGTGACTATGTAACAAAAGCTCATACTCTAGTCTTTACTGTTTGGTTCATCTGGCATAGTTGTTCTTGTGCCTTTACTGCTGCTTCATCACACAGTGGTAAAAAATGTCTAGGATTACGTAAGATTTTCTGTGCATTGTCTGCATCAACTTCAAATAAGGACACAAAACTGAAAGATTACATGAAAATATGAAAAATATTATAAGGATGTAACTATTAATTTTTATTGATATACTTAAATTTATGTATATAATTACTTGAGCAAACTTGCGTGACACATAATATGTATTAATATGTTAAGATTCAAAGAATCAACTTACTTTACATGTATCGAATAGAACATGTGATCGTCCGTGGCATTTAATATCTCTTCTAATTCTTTTGTGTGATATTTTAACAGATAATCTTGAAGCATGTTGGTATATTATATTAATTATCACACACTATGATAAAATCCTTGATAGATCGGTTGCTTTAATTTAGAATATGATGTGCTCTTCAAGATTTCAACATCAATAGCACATGGTTATCTTTCCGCCACTAGAATGCATGGTTAGCTGTCAACTGAACTTTCATTGGATCGTTTCCTCTCGCTAGATGTCACTAAACGACTTGACGCGCCAATCATTCAATTTGGCACACTCAACTGCATGAGTTAAGTTGGCAGCATATTCAAAATGGCAAAACCGAAAACTGTCGGTAAAATACTGGCGTTTTTCTGCAAACTTTATCAAAAACTTGGGACTGTCATTTTGAAATTCTTGACTATATTTAGTCGTTTTGCATATTGTTCCAGTTTTACTCCTTACGTTTTTGCACGTGTTTCGAAATGTCAGCCTTTCTTCTCACAAATCTATATAAATATATTGAACGTTTTCTATCTTGTAACATGTATAACAACAATAACTTATAAAAATATCTAAATTGGCAAGGCATAAATTAACGTTGCATAAAATAAACTTAAGAGGGAACAAAATGATTATAAAAAATGATAATAATATTCAATGCTTCAACAAATTCTAAATAATGGAAGAAACGGAGAAACTGGATTATCATTTTTTTCAAGATGCTTTGTTTCCAAGATATCCCATTGTTCATTAAAACGAGACATTCTGTATAATGTACAGCATATTGAAAATTTGCACGTAGTTATAGATCTCGCGTGTAATTATGTTATGCGGGCATTGTAATAATACATTCTACATAAAATTTCACAATCCAATGTTTACTAAAAAGACAGACGTTCTTGCCACAATTCCGAATCCTAATTAGGTTCTTTGATACGCACGTAATAGACCGTGACCGAGAAAATGAGAATTTCCCCGCGCTTTATCCTTTTCAATAAAAATGTCACCTCTACCTAATATGCGGCCGGCGGTTGTCTGTTAAAACACCATCGGTGCCGCAGATTCGTCAGCTGTCAGTTAAACGCTTGAAATTCCATTTGAGCCGGAAACCGTTCTCGCGCCGCGCTCTGAGGGTTGGTCGCAGTTTCGGTTACTTTTCGCCAAACCGCATCGGCGGCTGGCCTCCATTAATCGATCCCCCCGTGTCCCAACGTCTATCCGTTCCATAATTCCGCATCGCGGTTTCGCGCGGGGCTCTGCGGCGAAACTTCTTCCGCAACATCGAAAACCTTTTCTGCTCCTAATTTTCGGCGGGAGTAATGCAAGGGTGGCGTGCAGCGGCCCGCCGAGTGGATTCTAGCGGGGGGACATTGTGGAAATAAATGTTCGCCGAATGAACACACCCGGAATGAATATTCCGCGTTTCCGAATGTTTGAATTACGACGAGATCGGATTTCGTTTTTTCGCCAGTTCAAACTGCAGCGAAGCAAACGGAAATCGGTAGATGTATACGCAGCAAAGATAATGGTACACGGTAGAACGAAATTTTCCGCTTTCGGGCTCGACTTTTCTACGATTTTTCACACCGCGATATTGTGAGAACTTGATTTTATTACTCGTAATAAATATTGTACTATTAAACTGATTGCGAAAAGAGGCACGTGATTTGATAGATTTGATAGATATTAGATTGGGTTAAATCTTATAGATTAGATTCGATTTTGTTACATTTGATTTTATAGATAGATTTGATTTCATTTTAATTATTTGCAAATTTTTCATTTATGCAAAAAAATGCAATGTCAAAGTAAATCGAGTGGACATATTTGCAAACAATATGGCAATATCATTGCCATACCATAATATTAATTTGAGTTGTGTGAAGAATTGTTTTTATGGCGCTGTTTGTTGTACAATTTATAGACATCTGTTCCTTCTTTACCTCGCCACAGATCGAATTGCTTGTGCACTCATCTTTTACGCGAGTGAATTTCATTGAGTTCGCAAAACACCGCAAACCAAAGTTGACTCTCCAAGAAAAAAGTGTGCGTTTTAATCAATGTTTTAACGATATCCGATTTGGGATACGTAGCCGCCGCATAACTCATCTTTTTATTTGCCGATCCTCGTCCGGCACTATTTCTTCTCGTTTGATACCCGTAGGGGTTTGATTTAAATTGGAGCACGGCGACATTTCAAGTGGGGATAATGTACATTAAATATATGACATCTGTATTGGTTTTACGATGTCATTAGTAACGATTCCCTTTACGACCTGTTTCTGAGTTATAAATTACTGGTTGGATACACGGTGGTGGAGAGAAACAGTGTAATTAGCGTTACTGTGCGCGCACCAGATATATATGCGGACGTATAATTGGTCTGCACACGATCAAAACTTGCCTCATCCGTTTTGTACTCTAACGTCGCGAGCATAACTCTTGTAATCTCACGGATCTTCAAAGCGGCTTCGTTTAAATTTATCTTTCGCGGTTCATTTCTACATCATTTCTACATCTCTATATGTCTCACATTATTTGCGAACGCTAAACAATTATAATTTCAATCAAATTTATATTGTTTCTAATGGAATACCATCAAAAAGTGCATCTTCTCCACCTCCTCTTCTATCAAGATACGATGTCCTCTTTTTTTTTTTTAATATCATATCGTATTTGCGAGCAATATTTTTGCGATGTTAAACAATTAAAATAGCAGATTTTTATTCGAATAACCAATGAAAAATGCACTTTTTCCCTTACCTACTTTACCACATACATAGGAGGTACAATATTTTTTTTAATAAATCATTTGTTAACATATTATTTGCAATGCTAAAACTATTACAATATCAGATTTATTTTATTTTTAACCGATTAACTAATAAAAAGCGCATCTCCTCCTCCTCTTCTATCTCTCTAGGATATGCGACACTTTTTTCTTTATAATAGTCTATATTAAAAGTGTGTGTGCAATCTGTACTAAAAGTAATTCATCCTGAACGCTTCTCTCAAACGTTATTTTGCCTCAGAGATGCCGGATATGATCATTCGTTTCGATTTACCGGCGCTAACGATGTACCTGGTTCACGGAGAAATGCCATCTGGACAAAAGTAAACGATGAATCCGTAACGAGACGCAAACCAACGTCTTCCATTGAAATCCTTCAACCTTGCGCCAACAATAACCGCGGAGTCGTTCGCTCGGCGGACGTCTATTCTCGTACTTGAAATTCCGTGAAACGGAAATTCTCACTCCATCCAATTGGACGGTGGCGAATCGCCGGAGTTTAAATCATACGCGTAAACCGCATTTCTTACAATTCTACATAAGTTGTCAACCGCAGGTGGAGAGGTTGTAGCTCTCTAGGTGAAATTATAAAAAGTCGAATACCGACCGTTATAGCCGAATCTGCTATCGGATTGTCCAGAAATATCGCATTCTTTCTCAATACCATTAGCACTACGTTTATTTGATGTACTTATTAGAATCGTGCACGTGTTTACAATGCAAAATAATAAGACGAAGGAAGACACCGTAAGAATGTCCCATGACCGAGGATACATCGAAATATGAGAAAATCAATCAAACGTGATTGAATCTGTGAAAGAGCCTGAAAGACAAAATATGATGTTTAACGAAATAAACTAATTTTAATAATTGGCAATTTATTTTGATTTGTCTAGCGTTACAAATGTTACTTTTTTTCTATATTTATTTTCATTCATAAGGATTTAATCAATTTTCTGCTTTTATTTATATTTATATAATTTAATTTTTCTGATTCACATGTTTCTAACAATTGTTAATTATAAAGCAGTCAACCTTAAATTAAAAAATAACATCGTTCTTTTGCATATCGTTAAATTCGCCCTTCGCATTGTTTCAACTCGGATTCTGTTGCGCGATTTTGGCAAAAAATTATTTATTTACGTGTCTTATTTATTTACGTGTAATTTCAATGTAATTTCAATGCTTTGACAAAAACAATGTTTATATGATACGTAGGAAATAGTTGACCAAGCAGATCTTTTGCGATATTAGTTTTCTTTTGTATGGAGGGATTTGTTTAATTTATATTGAAATATTATACGCGTGAATATAATGTTATATTAATTTTCGTATATAAATGCATAATATATACCGTCCATGAGCGAAACCTTTTTGGGCAGATTAATCAAGTGCATTTAATAATCATATATTTAACACGTGTCAACTAATATGAAATATAAAGAATAATGTTATTTACTCCTTGAAATATAAAGAATAATGTTATTTACTCCTTGTAAAGAGTTGAAACAGTTGGAGAATCAGTACATTTCAAATTCTACATTCGTAAAATATTTATTACCGTAAAACACCCCGTTAATATTCACATGTTCTTATCGAAATTTTTCATCAAGTTGAGAAACCCATTATCCGAGAAATGGACCTTCGATGTATTTTATTCTCTTTTCCTATACTTTCTCAATTATTTCGCATGATAGAGATAAAATTTTCATGTACAAACAGAAGTACTTAATACAGTCTTAGCATGCAAATGTTAAATCATCAAGATACTGTTAATAAACAAATAAACTCATCTTTACAATTAAAGTTCACGTATCGTTGCATATTGTCATAAATTACTTCTGCGGAATACTATGAAACTATTAATATTTTTATTTATGTATACACAGCGACAGAAGAATAATCATATTTTCGTGAAAAGTACACTTTCTCGTTTGCAGGAGAAATATGAAATTAATAATCGCTTATCGCAGTCGATCAATTACCGTAAATCACGTCGGAGAGAAACGCGAGATATATTCATCATACTTTTCGAAAAGGATTAGGGAAGAATATTTATCTCATGAGACCACCTACTTCTCCTTCGTATGATTTACATTCCATCGAGACGCTGTTTACGCAATGGAGATACCGACGTTGGTTTCCAAAGAAGATTTTTTTAAGATTACCTTGCTTCACTATTATGTAAAAACGTGTAAAACGTCCGACAAACTCTATTCGTCACGTTTTATCGCGCATGACGAATTATTGTTAGCGTACACGATTTTCCTCACGCGCGCGATATTAATTCATTTATTTGGAAACTGTGTGCTCAATAGTAGTCGCGTAATTTTTCATTCGCTTTTCATCATGCGAGATAGTTCATCATCCACTCGCCGACCTCTCGAAGGGCAAGAGGCTACACGATCCGAGCG